AGCGGACATAGAAGCCATAAATGAGCAAAAGGTTACATTGTAGTGAATAGAGGAAGCAAAAGCAATAACCCCACAGGCACATCCCCTTTCCCCCTTGAGAGTATGGCAGAACCCAGGGAAAGGTGAGATTTGTTTTTAGATCAGAGGGGATAGATAGAAATGAAATAGAAATAGGTTCTGACATCATGCTTTATAGCAACTAAGGCATTTTAGAAAGAATAAGCATTAAAACATATCTATGCATATCAAATAACCCTCAAAACACTTTCAAATTTGCATGTTAAAAGTAAACAAGTACTTGCAGTTCTCTGTAATATTTTTTTTAAATGCTCTTGGAAATTCCATGTCTTGAATTCTGCAAAGCTGTTTGAAATAAAGATGCATTTGCTTAATATAATAGTGACTCATAATCAATAAGTAACAGCTGTGTTTTGGCTGAACTATAAACCAAATTGCTGGAAAGGTTCCCAGAATTCCTTATGCCTTATGGTATACCAAGGACTATATCCTTTGTCTGCATCCCAATTATTTTCACTACATCCAGGGAATCTGTAAAACGTACATGCCATCTCATGGTTAAAGTGTGTATCTGCAAACACACTTCTTCCAAGCTTGGCAATTTCGTTTGCTAGAACAGGGCATCACTAGGTGGGTCTAGGTCAGGACAACTTGCCACAAGCCAACTCGCCATGGCCAACTCACTGCTGGACATTAAATCATTAAATGAAGGAGGGACAAAATAAAATGTGAATGACAAAAATTAAAATATTTTAAAGAATTCAGTTGTATTGTTGAATTGTCCTGCAGCGAGTTGTCCAGTGGTGAGTTGCCTGTGGCGAGTTGTCCCACAGTGAGCTGGCCATGGCAACTTGGCCACAGTAAGTTGTCCCATTCTGTCCTCAGGCAACATGGAAATTAAAAATCCAGATTTTTTTTTAAAATTCAAGTATATCTTGAGAAATGAATAAAACAAAATAAAGCAGGAATTTTCCCTTCTCTGCTTATTTTTCCTATTATTGAGTTCACCAACAGTTTTTCTGGAGAAAATTAGAGGGGAGTGAGCTTTCTTCTCTCTTATTGGTGAACAGACTGGTAGTTGTTTTGCTTTTTTCCAAAGCGCCTGAAGGCAGGACAAGAAGCAATGGATGGAAACTAATCAAGGAGAGAAGCAACCTAGAACTAAGGAGAAACTTCCTGACAGTTAGAACAATTAACCAGTGGAACTACCTGCCTCCAGAAGCAGTAAGTGCTCCAACACTGGAAGTTTTTAAGAAGAGACTGGACAGCCATTTGTCCGAAATGGTGTAGGGTTTCCTGCCTGAGCAGGGGGTTGGACTAGATGACCTCCAAGGTCCCTTCCAACTTTACTACTATTATTATTGCTATTATTATTATTATTATTATTATTATTATTATTACTATTATTATTTTCCATCCTGGCTGGAAAACATCAAATGCCTCAGCCTGAGTCTTAAAATCCTAGGCACTGCCTCCCTGCATATCTGAACAGCATCAGGTTGGCAAAAGTAGCTAGTACAAATAATTTTGACTTACAATCATTCATTTACCGTTTGAAGTTACAAAGGTACTGAAAAAAAGCAACTCATGACTGGTTCACAAATTTATGACCATTGCAGCATCACCGTGATCACTGATCAAAATTTGGGCACTTGGTAACCAGCGTGTATTTGCAATGAGAGCAGCATCCTGAGGTTATGTGATCACCATTTGCAACCTTCCCAGACTTTGCTTCTGACAGGCAAAGCCAATGGGGGAAGCTGGATCCACTTAATGACCATGTTATTCACTTAACTGCAGTCATTTCCTTAATGAGTGTTGCAAAAAAAAAAAAAAAGACCATAAAATTAAGCACGATTCACTTAACTGTCTTGTTTAGCAATGTAATTCTGGGCCCAATTGTGGTTGTAAACTGAGGACTATCTGTGGTGTTATCTGCTGTGGCAGATAGGGAAGTGTATTTACAGTCTCCCAAAGATGCTTTTTCACAAGGCAACTGGACTTTCTTGTTTTTCTTTGAAGAAGTTTCGCTTCTCATCCAAGAAGCTTCTTCAGCTCTGACTGGATGGTGGGGAATGGAAAGATTTATGCTCCTGCAGACAGCTGTTCATTTGCATTCTTTTAGGGAGTCATTAAAGCTACCTGGAGGCTTATGTGTCTCCAGGGTCACCTGAGTAGTGCAAGTGGGGGTGGAGAATTTCCATAGACATGTATTTACTCTGGTTCAATTGCTGGACCTCATTGACAGGAAACCAGGGACACTGTACAAAGAAATGTTTATTTCTTATAATTATAGCCCACCTTAATTTTATGTAACTGAAAACTCTCCTATTTTCCCCACAACGTTAGGTGGGTTGGCCTATAAGAGAAAGTGTCTGGTCCAAAGTGACCCAGTCAGATTTAATCCCCAATTGAGCAATTCATAGTTTCCCAGTTTCTAATCTAAGCCAAAGCTAAGAAAGACAAAGACAACAGAGTTTCAGAGAGCAGTTAGAAGAGACAAACAGTATTATAATAATATCTGTAAAGACACTGAAGAAACAGACATAGAAAACCAAAGAAAGATCACAACCACAAATTGGCGTTCTAAAGGATGCTAATGGACAGACAGTAATCGGCTTAAAGGAGATCAAAACTGGAAGAAGTACATGAATATACTGTACAGTACAAATGTCACCATCCTTAGAAGATATTCTAAGAATCTGTATTACAAAAAAATAAAGTTGATCAGCACTCTATTTTTTAAAATATGATTTTATTACAAAAGTAAAAACTAACAGAAAAATACATACATACACAAACATGCATATATACAGAGAGAAGTGACTTCCAACCTTCATTACAAATATAGCTTGTATACTTAGTGGACAATTACAAGCTAAAACATATAAGGAATGGCTGCTGGAATTGGGCATGTCTAGTTTAATGAAGAGAAGGACGAGGGGGGACATGAGAGCAGTGTTCCAATATCTCAGGGCTGCCACAAAGAAGAGGGAGTCAAGCTATTCTCCAAAGTACCTGGAGGCAGGACAAGGAAGCAATGGATGAAAACTGATCAAAGAGAGAAGCAACCTAGAACTAAGGAGAAACTTCCTGACAGTGAGAACAATTAACCAGTGGAACAACCTGCCTCCAGAAGCTGTGAAATCTCCAACACTGGAAGTTTTTAAGAAGAGACCGGACAGTCATTTGTCCGAAATGGTATAGGGTTTCCTGCCTGTGCAGGGGATTGAACTAGATGACCTCCAAGATCCCTTCAAACTTTATTACTATTATTATTATTATTATTTATTTTTATTATATAGACAAATTTAGTAACTCTTCACCTTCTGTAGGGTTATAAACAGGTATTTCTTCCATATACCATCTTATATCTATAAGCAAATCCACAAAACATCAATTTTTTACTCTTACTAGATAGCAAAAGTCCAAAACGGTTGCCAGAACTTGGCAAAATAGCGTCCTATTTTAATCTTGATCAAATACACCAATATAACATTCTTTTACTTCTACCAGCCTTAATCTTTAATTCAATCAAATATTGTCATAGGATTTGATTTGTCTTCAATTCTTTCTTGTCCCATTGCACAGCTTTCCTCAAGGCTTTTATCATATTCCTTTTGTAAATCCTATTAGAAAGCTTATATCTTATCAGATAAAAATTGTTCATGCAAAGACAAATATTGCCATATACCGTTTTTCAAGTGCTAAATAAAAAGCATCTCTTTACCAGTACTATGTAAATTACAGGTAATTCTTGACTTATGACCCACAACTGGGTCCCAAATTTCCACTGCTAAGCAAGGCAGTTGCTTAAGTGCATCATACTCCATTTTACCATCTTTTTGCCATAGTTATTAAGCAAATCATTTCAATTATGTGAATCATAATCATTAAGTGAATCTGGATTTCCCCCTTGACTTTGGTGTTGGAAGCTAGCTGGGAAGATTACAAATAGGATGTCAACATCGGATGTTTTTGCTTTGATAACAGTTAGAGATGCAACCATTTTCTTCTTATGTTTTACTTTTAGAGTTAGAGATGATGCTGGAGGGGAGGAATGTGCATGAGAATTTAGATAGATATAATAATACTGGATTTAGTGTGTGAACCAAGATTAATGAAATAAGAGAAGATTAGAAATGGCGGGATGGAGTAATGGAGGAAGAGCCTGTATTTCAAACTAATTGGAGAATGTGATTTATGACGGTTAATGGGAGAATGGAATTGTGCTTTGATACTATGTGCTCAGGGGAGGGGAATCCAGTTTTTGGCTTAATGTCACAGTTCTGACAGATGAAACTCTTCATCTGTCGGAACCATGACAGTGATCACATGACATGCTGCGACTGTCATAAATATGTTAGTTGCCAAACACTGGAATTTTGATCATGTGACCATGGGGATGCTTCAATGGTCATAAGTGTGAAAAATAGTTCTTTGTTTTTTCATTGCTTGTGCAACTTTGAATGGTTGCTAAACAAATGCTTGCAAGGATAACCTGCACAGTCCATGAGCTCAGCAAACATGATGCAGTGGATTGATTCAAACTACAGGTAATCCTCGACTTACAACCTTCCTTCATTCAAAGTTACAAAGATACTGAAACAAGTGACTTATGACGATTACAACTGTCAAAGCATCCCCAGGGTCATGTGATCCAAATTTAGATGCTTGGCAACTGACTCATATTCATGACGGTTGCAGTGTCCTGGGGTTGTGTGATCACCTTTTGTGATCTTCTGACAAGCAAGGTCAATGGGCAAGCCAGATTCACTTAACAGCTGTGTTACTAACTTAACATCTGTAGTGGTTCGTTTAACAACTGTGGCAAGCAAGGTTGTAAAATGAGACACAAAACTCAACTAATGTCTCAGCGACAGAAATTTTGGGCTCAGTTGTGGTTGCAAGTCGAGGATGACCTGTAATGTTCAGATAGGCCTACATAATCACCACGGATGCCATAATTAATGCTCCTTTCTATGATCGATAATAATTTATGAAATTGAGTGCTGCCTGGCTCTCAATGCTTCTCTTGACTATGCATCGTGAAACGCAGCTCTGCGCAAACTGGAGATGCTAAAGGTGTGGGAAAAAATGTGGTTAATGACTTACAGCTTGGTAATGACTTATAGCTAATGACTTACAACTTGCAAGCCTAAACCATCAAGTTGGTTAATCGGTTGACCCAGATAATCGGGTTAATTTACGCCCCGCTTCAGCTAACCATGGCTTAGCGTGCAGAGGCCAGGCAGCCTGGAAGCCCGAGGTTTTCCTTTGCCGTTCAAAATCCGGCCACCTTTTTGCTGGAAACTGATCTGGGCGTAACGAGGGGAAGGGCACGTACGTCTTGCCTTCCTCGCCGCCCACACTTGCCCCCCGAGAGAACCCCCTTCGTTGACCCGCGGAGGAGGCTTCGTCTCCGACTGCCGCCAGAGGGCCCTGGGTGGCGCCCGGGAAGAAGCCCGGCTTTCCGTCTCTCTCTCGTTCCGCGGCTCGGGGTGTCACGCGTTGAGCTTCCTGGGTGACTCGGAGGCAGCAGAGGCGCCGTGGACCCGGCCAGGAGAACCGCCCCGCCGCGGCTCCTCCCCGCCAGCCGCCGGGAAACCTTCCTCGCAGCCGGCTTGGCCCGGCCCAGGTGGGGACCTGTCGCGGATCTGTGCAGGCAGCGCTTCCGGGATGCGAAGGGTGACTCCCGCCTGCAGCGCTGCGCTGATCCCCTGTGCCTGGCTGACAAGTGATGTAAGGACGGGGCGAAGAGGGAGCTGCGCCCGCTATTAAACATCTAAACAGCCCCCGCAGCCTCGGTCATCCGGTCCTTTTTGGACGTGCACAGCGTCAAAGCTACCCTCCGTCAATGCCAATTAGAGCAGTAGCTTCATCAGGCTGACAGGAGAGGAGGAGTGCGCTGGTGATGTTACCTCGTTTGGTAATGAGACGTCTGCAAGAAAACCACCAAGCTCAGAGGAGGAAGAGTGTGCAAGCTTTGGAGTTCTACAGAGCCCTTTGGCTGGATTCTGCCCGATAAAGTGTTCTGCAGAATTCAAAAGCCTGCAAATTGCTCCTGAAGGTTGAGTTGATCAGTAAAAGATACTGTTCCTATTCCTCCCCCCTCAAATTATATTTTTCAATTTTTTTTAGCCTCAGTTTGAAGCCTTGACTTTTAGCCTTCCTTCTGTTCCGTGTTAATTGAGGTACAGAATTGACTTTGTCTGAGTTTTATTGTCTCCTGGTAAGTGAAAACAGGCTTTAAAATGGTCATTTACAGTATAGTAGCAATAAGCTGGATTTAATGCTGTTTAATTAAGAACCAAGTACATTAATATATAGTTAGTACCATTCCAACAATAGTACACACTGTATTTTGATTTGGATTAAGGTAGCTAATGTAATGTATGAAAAAAAAAGATACGGTGACTGTAAAGCAGTGTTTCCCAAACTTGACAATTTTAAGGCATGAGGACTTCAACTCCCAGAATTCCACAGCCAGCAACGCTGGCTGTGGAATTCTGGGAGTTGAAGTCCACATGCCTTAAAATTGTCAAGTTTGGGAAACACTGCTGTAAAGGATTCTAAACTGAAGCTGAGTCAGCATTGTGCAGCTTCCAAAAAGGCAGATGTAGTTTTAGAGTTCATTTGTTTAGATGTCAAATCAAGCCACAGGTTCATCTGACTCTCCTTTGTTGACCTTCCTGGATTTTGTTTGGCCAGCTACTGGCTGCACTTAAAATGGATATTAAAAAGATTGGAATGGGGTCAGAGGTAGCAATGGAGCTGGGCAGAGATATAGAAAACATGCCCTACTTTATTATTTATTAAGCAATTTATATAACTGCCCATCAAACAAATTCCAGACGGTGTAGAGTACACAGAGCTAAAAACCTTGGCATGTTGACAGCCTGGAGCAGAAACAGATTGGAGGTGGCGTAATGTTTACGCAGAACCAACCGTGTTTTAACCCCGCATGTTCTGTAAATTTGGCCCTGTGGATAGTTTAGAGATAAGGACAAAAAAGTCTATAAAAGTCCAGGATGCTAGAACTGCCATCTTTTCCTTTTTGTGTCTGCGGTGGGATGGTATTACACTTATATTTGAAGGTTTGACTTTTCTCTTAAAAACTGGAAAATTCAGGTTGTTTTAATTCTGAATTTCAAAAGGGACCTGGGTCTTTTGCAACCTGCAATCTTATCTTGTTGCCGAGCATTTGATCACCTCAAATAAGATAAGATAACCTTTACTGTCATTTTGTTTTTACTGTGGGCACAATGGCACACATCAAAAAAGTGAAATTTAGTTGCCTGCTCTCAAAGTGAAACACGTAGTAGAATTTTCTGTTTTGTTTATTTTCCTGAAGCTCCTCAATCTCTCCACTTTTATGTGTGGAATTAAATTTCAGGTTTTGGAAGCAGAGGTAGTCCTCGACTTACAACTATTCGTTTAGCGACCATTTGAAGCGACCACAGCACTGAAGAAGTGACTTGCAACCAGTCCTCATACTTGCAACTGTTGCAGCATTCCCACAATCACTTGGTCAAAATTCAGGCAGTTGGCAACCAGCGTGCATTTATGACTGTTGCAGAATCTTGGGAGAGGAGGATCACGTGGTCATCATTTGCAGCCTTCTTAGCTGGCTTTTAACAAGCAAAGTCAATGGGGGGGGGGAGATGAACTTGTTTAACAACTGCATGATTCCCTTAACAACTGGAGTGATTCGCTTAACGACTGTGGCCCAAAAACATTGCAGAATTGGGCTCGACTCACTTAACAACCAATTTGCTTAATCGAAATTGTGGTCTCAGTTGTGGTTGTAAGTCAAGAACTACCTGCAGCCTGAAAAGATGAATTCTAGAACGAATTTGATGCAGGGAGGGCTGTTGTTCCAGATGCCCTGTGGCCTCCAAGGTGGAACGGCCTCCTTGTATTGGAGACTTCTCGACCAGAGGGACATGCAAGAGAACTACGAGACTCTTATCTCTCTGGGTAAGGATCAATTTCTCTGGGTTAATATGTAAAGCTAAGGAACAGCTCTACAGCAGAGGCCCCCAACCTTTTGGGCACGGTTCTGTGGAGAAAGATTTTTCTGCGGACCAGAGGGGGTGAGGTTCCACGTGCTGCCTGCATCCAGCGGATGGGGCTTCACTGATCTGCGCGGACCGATTGCTGGTATGCCGTGGCTCGGTGCCAGTCCACGGGCCGGGGGATCCCTGTTCTACAGGATCAAACCCCAAATCCAGAGAGCCTGACTTGCTGTCCTCAATTGCTTCTGGAAAACTCACAAGCAAGAAATCACGGTGTTGTTTTTCTCCATCATTTGGTGTTTGGAAGGTATACACAATATTTGAATGTTTATTTATTTATTTATTTAATTTTATTTATATGCCTCCCAATCCCAAAGGACTCAGGGCGGCATACAAAATTAAAACAATCATCTAAGAATAAAACAATAAAATAATACAATCATACCGCAAGTCCGATCATATTCCCCCCCCCCGGGGACATCAGCCCCAGGCCTGCCAGAACAGGAGAGTTTTAACGGCTTTCTTAAAGGCCGGCAGGGTGGGAGTTGTTCGAACCTCGGGGGGAAGTTGATTCCACCAGGTCGGAGCCACCACAGAAAAGGCCCTTCCCCGAGGGCCCGCCAGCCGACATTGTCTGGCCGACGGGACCTGAAGGAGGCCCAATCTATGGGACCTCACCGGTCTCTGGGAACTGTGCGGCAGTATGCGGTCCTGTAAGTAACGTGAAGGTTTGAATGTGAAGGTTTGACTTAGGTGTCATGGTTTACAGACCTCTCTTCCGTGTATTTTTCTCATCTCCCTGTAGAACAGCTCGCTCTCTGCATTTGGAGCAAGGCTGATCACAATTATAAAGTTACTTAGCCTTCGCCAATTGAGGTCCACCCCAGGGTGCTGAACACCAAGTGGTTGTTGTCCAGAGTGGTCACAATATAATTTAGCCAAATGCAGGGACCCAGCTGCATCAGTGGCCCATTGCATCCAGATGGTGCCAGCCAATCTGCCCAAGGTCTTAATGGGGTCTGTCACACTTTTTTCTTGTTAGCAGAAGAGATGGCAATCACCCTGCCCCGAATCACTGCACTAGCTGAGCCCCACCGGAGAGGGTTGCCGTCAGGTAAGACAAGTGGATTTTATGATCCTGCACCCCGAACAAAAGTAATTTTCTGTGCCTCAGGTGCAATTATCAACAACTGCTCTATTCTCCACTTCTGCATAAAGCTTATGTGAATAGACTTAGGTGTGTGTATATGTGAAACTGAGATAATAACAAGAAAGAAGAAATTAAAATATTGGCCTGCTATATTTGGCCCAAGATAATCAATCTCCTCAGTCATGCATTCCTTGCCAAAAATATATTTTTTTTCACTTTTCAACCCAGTATTTAAATATAAAAAGTGTACTGGATCAAGCCAAAGAGCTCTCTTGGCACACGTCCTGTTTCCCAGAATAGCCAAGAAGATAATATTAAAACATGTAGTTCTCAAGAATGGGCAATCAGGAATCGAGAACTTCTGTGGTAGGATATGCAGCTGTCTAAATTTCCACCTCTGATTCCTGCTTTCCAGCAATTGTGTTTTAGACACATCCTACCTTTTTGAATATTTGAGATGATTTATGACAAGGTGAACTAGTAGCCTTGGGCTGAATTAGGCCCCTGACTTCCTCCAGTCCCCATTTAGAATATTTTAAGTTGATTGCCATCACTATAGCTACGGCAGTGGGTATCATAGTTCAACTATGTCCTTCTCTGAGTTAACAAAGCCAATTTCTGTATATATGTGCTGGAATGCAGTCTGGTGTCCCTGGAGGCGAAAAGGCAGCATAGTTTGGAATGTCTGGTGAGCAGAAAGAGGATGAAGGCAGACCCTCCCTATCAGCATACAGAATATATACCTTTAGTTGTGCAGGTAGTTGTTTGAGTCTGACAAGGGCGAACAAAATAAACTACTCAGCTGTTGCAGCATCCCCATGGTCAAATCTAGATGCTTGACAACTGGCTTGTATTTATGACGGTCGCAGTGTCCCAGGGTCATGTGATCCCCTTTTGTGACCTGACAAGCAAAGTCATTGGGGAAGTCAGGTTCCCTTAACAACCGTGGCACTAGCTTAACAACGGTAGTGATTCACTTAACAACTGTAGCAAGAAAGGTCGTCAAATGGGGCAAAACTCACTTAACAAATGTTTCACTTAGCAACAGAAATTTTGAGCTCCATTGTGGCCATACGTCGAAGACGACCTGAATTAAAGCTTTTCCTTGCCAGCAGGATTTCCACTTTCTAAATCTGATCTGCTCTCCTGGATGGATCGAGAAGATTCATGGATTCCAGAACTTCAGGCATGTGAGGAAAGGACAATACCAACTCAGATAAATCCAGGTGAGAATTGTGGTTTGTTTATTTTTAAATATACAGGTAGTCCATGGCTTACAGCTGGTTGCTTAGCAATTATTCAGAGTTATGATCTACCTGAAAAGGAGGACTTATGACCTGGATCTAGAGTTCCAATGGTCAGATCACGTCCTATGGTCACATGATTGTACTTTGGGCAATCAACAAAATGGTTGCCTTTACGGCTGTTTGGAGTTACGTGACCACATTTTACAACGGTTTTGCTGAAAACCAGCACTTCTGGTTTTCAGGAAAACCATAACAAACAATGGATTCACACTGGTTCATTTAATGACCGCTGCACAAATCATCATGACATATGACTATAATGGGCAGGCTCCATTGCAGTCAAATGATGAAGACTACCTGCATGGGATGGAGTTCCACTTGTAAGGGGAAGGTTTTGTTTGTCACCATCCATGCTGGATTCTGGCACAGAAGCCCTGAATAGTGTGATAGAGCAGCTATTCATATTACGATTAACTTCATGTCTTCTCAGCAGGATGTTAGGAAAAAACAACTATATAAATTGAATGACTTCAACAATAGAGTAGGCTTTTGTCTAGCTAGCGCATTAGTTTTCATCACCTATTAAAATACCAAAGCTATCCAATTAGACCAGGGGTGTCAAACTGCCGGCCTCTCGGCCGGTTGCATCATGTGGACGCTGCGCCCACCACAGTTCCGTTAATGGGGAAAAAATAAGTCGCGACACGTCACATGATGCGGTGAGTTTAACACCCGTGAATTAGGCAGTGCATTAGAGAAACAGAATTCATCAAGATTAATAAAAATGTTTTCAAAGTTATGAGCAAGCTTATTCTTCAGAGCTTGTTTTCTGATAAGTGAAAGAAGTGCCATAGAAAAATACCAAATTTTCAGTCTCCAAATCAACAACATGATCCCATACAGGTGGTCCTCAACTTACAACAGTTCATTTAGTGACCGTTCAAAGTTACAATGGCACTGAAAAAGTGACTTATGGCCGTTTTTCAGAGTTACGACCTTTGCAGCATCCCCATGATCACGTGATCAAAATTCAGATGCTTGGCAGCTGGTTCACATTTATGACCGTTGCAGCGTCCTGGGGTCATGTGACCCCCTTTTGGGACCTCACAAGCAAAATCAATGAGGAGGCCAGATTCACTTAACAACTGAGTGACTAACTTATCAACTGCAGTGATTCACTCAACAAGCTGAGGCAAGAAGGTTGTAAAATAGGGCAAAACTCATTTAACAATTGTCTCACTTAGCAACAGAAATTTGGGGCTCAATTCTGGTCATAAGTCAAGGACTACCTGTACCGGTCAGTTTTAGCAGATTTTGCCTGTATGTCAGAAAGGCAGCAACAGGAATATTTTATCTCAAGTTTGCTCATATATACTACCAAAGATAGGCTCTTTAATCAAGAGTGTGTCTTGCAAACCAAGACAATTGTTGCCAACATGTTACCAACTTAGCGTAGGCTTTGCTGATACACATAGAACGTAAGGTGGAAATATAAAATGTTTAATGCAAATACATGTTGAAATAAGGTTATACCAACCTTCTATTTAATGGCTTCTGAGTAAGGATGGCTTTCAAGTCATCTCTGCAATATTTATCTCCTCAGGGGAAGGACTGAGAGGAAGGAATGAACCTGTTCCTCCGGAAGTAATTCCTAGCAAAACAAATCTACAAAAGGGAGATGTCCTAGAGAGGAATCCAATGGAGGCCGAGAACCAACCATCAGGGTCTGAGCCGAGGGGCTCCCTAACCGAAGGAAAGGAGCAGCAAGACAAACCCCTCCCACAGACCATGGTTGCTTCCGATTCTCAGGTGTCCCTTAGAAAACCACCAGCACATGGCAAGAACCACCAATGCACAGAGTGTGGCAAAAGCTTCAGCCAGAAGTCCAATCTTCTCCGGCACAGGAAGCTGCATCTGGACAAAAGACCCCACAAGTGTGACCAGTGTGATAAAAGTTTCTCTGAGGCTGAGGCCCTGGCCATGCACCAGAAAGGCCACGCAAATGACAAACCGTACAAGTGTGAGGAATGTGGGAAAAGCTTCAGCTGGACCTCGCACCTGGAACGGCACCGGCGGATCCACACTGGAGAGAAACCCTTCCAATGCAAGGAGTGTGGGAAGGCCTTCAGTGTTGGATCACACCTGGAGAGGCATCGGCGTATCCACACCGGGGAGAAGCCGTATCAGTGCAAAGAGTGTGGGAAGAGTTTCAGTGTTAGCTCCACCCTGGTCCAGCACCAGAGGATTCACGCCAACGACAAGCCCTACCAGTGTGAGGACTGTGGGAAGGGCTTTGCACTTGGGGCCAACTTGGTGGCTCACCAGAGAAAACATCTGGGACAGAAGCCCTACGAGTGCCCCGATTGCGGGAAAAGTTTCAGCTTCACCTCTCACCTAGAGAGACACCAGCGGATCCACACGGGAGAGAGGCCTTACGAATGCCCCGACTGTGGGAAGCGTTTCAGCCGCAGTTCTCACCTTTACAGGCACCAGAGAATCCACACAGGGGAGAAGCCACACCAGTGTACAGATTGTGGCAAAAGCTACTACCTCAGTGCAGCCACCCTCCACCACTTCCAGGAATCTCCAGCCAGGAGCAGGGACCCCACCAAATGCACCGAATGTAACCGGAAGAGGGTGGTCCTGCAGCCTCCTCCACTTCCTCCCTCCCTGCCAATGTCTACTGAGAAGCCCTTTAAATGCTCCGACTGCGGGAAAGGATTTGGCCAGAGTTCGTCCCTGGTGAAGCACCAGCGGATCCACACTGGAGAGAAGCCATATCAGTGTCTGGAGTGTGGGAAGAACTTCAGCTGGTGCTCGGCCCTGATCAAGCACAAGCGGACCCACACAGGAGAGAGGCCCTTTCAGTGTGGAGACTGTGGGAAAACATTCAGCATCAGCTCCCATTTGGAAAGGCACCAGTGTGTGCATGCTCCCGACCGGCCCCACAAGTGTGCCGAATGTGGGAAAACCTACAGGGAACTGGCCTCCTTAGTCAAGCACCAGAAATCTCACGTGCCTGGGAGCAAGCGTTATCGGTGCCCTGACTGTGGGAAAAGTTTCAGCTGGAGCTCCCACCTGGAAAGACACCAGCGGATCCACACGGGGGAGAAGCCCTACCAGTGTAGTGACTGTGGGAAGTGCTTCAGCGTCAGTTCCCACCTGGACCGCCACCGGAGAATCCACACAGGAGAGAAACCCTACCACTGCGGTGAATGTGGGAAGAGCTTCAGCGTCAGCTCCACGCTCTTGCAGCACCAACGGACACACTCGAGTGGAAAGCCTCACAAGTGCAAGGAGTGTGGGAAGCGATTTGTGGCCGGGGCACAACTGCTCACGCACCAGCGGGCTCACCGGGGCGAGAAACCCTACGACTGCACCGTCTGCGGAAAGAGCTTTGGCTTCGTCTCCCACCTGGAGCGGCACCTGAGGGTCCACACGGGCGAGAAGCCCTACCCGTGCTCCGAGTGTGGGAAGTGTTTCAGCCGCAGCTCGCACCGCAACCGCCATCAGCACACTCATGCGGCAGAGGGGCTCCCCAAAGGACAACCTGAAGGCCAGAAGGACACCTCTGTTTCAACCGAGACTAAGCACCCCAAAGAGCTGCTTCCTGTTGTTCCTGACCCTCCTCTTTCTCTCATGCCCTCCTGGTGGAACGAGGGGGACAGGAATCGCATCCCCACAGCTGCTTCCACTTGGCCTGAGGCCCCACCGCCTTTCCAGGGCTTCATCCCCAATGCTGTCTCAGCTGGAGGACTGCGGAGCTGGGGTGGGAAGGGATTTTTACCTCCAGATCCATGGAGGTCAGGGGAAAACAGCTGTAGATGGGCATCCCCTTACCCGCAAGAGGGATGGCCGCCACCTCCCCCAACATCCTAGCAGCTCAAGACAATTTTGTGGGGTGGATGGGCTGGAAGAAGCAATGATCTTCCCTCCTCACTCGACAAATTGGGCAGAGTGCTAATTTTGTCCCATGGGAGCCAAGGATTGCTAGTCTGTACTGGTTGGAATGGAAACCTACATGTAGTTGCTATCCTAAAAGAGAATTTATGTTTATATTTATGTTCTTCTGAGGGAGGTTTACACGGGCCTGGAGCTTTTGATATGAGGCATCCTCAAGAGTTGCAATAATCCCTGGATCTTCTCCCTTCTGAAGTGGTAGAATACTGTTGTTAGAGTCTTTGGTGCTCTCTGAACTTAGTCCTTGCTTATGGACCTTTCCTAACTCAACCAGATAACTTCATCGATGATAGTTGGACAGTGAAAGGTCTGCAAACAAACATCACCTGTGATGTTACCTATGTTTTTTTTAACCTAGTTGGGTAATGAAATGTCTGCAAGCAAACACCCAAGCTCGGAGAACACCAAGAACTCCACAATTCAATCCAGAGCTACAGATAGGCCCTTCTGTTGAGAGAGTACTGCTGCTTTTACTGATGATTTGAACTGGCTTATTACCATAATTTGGTGGGGGAAAGTTTAAGGCAGCAGCCAGCTGACAAAAGCTATAAGCTCCTTCTTTACCTAAAGAATATGATTAAGGGGAAGCATACCAGAAATAGGGAGCTGGTGCTGTACATGAGGACCCATTTATTTACAGGCAAGATGTCTCAGCTACCTTGTTAAGGCATCCAAAGTTTACCTGGCGTTGCACCACAATCTGAAGAAGCTGCAGAAAACACACCTGAAGCATTTAGCCTGCCTCAAGTTGGAGAGCTTTGAGACTCAGTATCCTCTTTCTGGTAGCATCTTATTGCAAGGCAAGGAAGGAAATCTGAAACCAGATTCCTCTTCTGCATGGCAGCATTTGTGCTGCATGCAGATTGTCCCAAAGTTGATCTCTAGGTGGGGAGATCCCAAGTTGCCGCTGAGAATCAACTCAAGCCGGCTATACTGACAAGTCCCTATCAATCCTGACTGATTACTATGCTGGCTGAGGCTCGGGGAGGTTTGGCCTAAGACAAAGGTACCGAGCTTGGACAAGATAATTTATTCTAGATCAATAAGGGGAGCCCATAATGATGTTTCAAATCCCATAAAGTATTGCTATCATCAAGAATGATGGAAAATGGTGCTTGCAAGGTAGTCCAAGCAGGAAGCATGCCTGAATGAACTGATTCCACTTTATTGTAAGGTTACATTAATGCAGACATGTCAAACACAAGGCCCGGGGGCCAGATGCGGCCCACGAAGTGGTTTCATGTGGCCTGCGAAGTCATCCTGGAAACAGTGAGGGAATGGCCCCTGCTGCCTTGGCCCTGGCCCAGGCCAGCCAGGAGGGAGCCAATGTACAATTTTGTGGTGGCCATCTATGCTGAAACGCATTCAGTCTTAGTTCCACAAGGCTGTCTAGAAACAGCGAGGAACCAGCCCCGCCCCCTGGGTCCATGCTGGGGAGGTGTCACCCTTTGTGAGGAATGAAAAAATGGACCATGCTTTGGCGCTTGCCCTGGTCTGACCCCCTTCTGCCAGAGACCCTCAGATCTGTCCCACTCCTGCCCAGGCCCCCACAGGCACCCTTGACGCGAACGATGTAGACCTGGCCATGCCCACCCAGTAGGCCACACCCACTCCAGCCACGCCCACCCAGTAGGCCACACCCACCCTGGCCACACCCACACACCCGAGGGCAACCGCAATGCTGATGCGGCCCTCAATGAAATTGAGTTTGACACCCTTGCATTAATGGAATCATACAAGTCTGAAAGTATATTTCTCTCCTGCATTTACCTCTCAAGGACTTAGGGAGGGTCCCTTCTGCGGTATTTGCCATGCCCACTTTCCTTTTGCAGGCTACACTGTCTGGGGTTGCAGTACCCCAGACAGACCTGCTCCGCAGTTTGGGGGTCCTTATGGATTCATAGCATCTGCTCAAAGAACAAGTGGCAGCTGTGGCTAAGAGGGCCATTGTATACCTTCAGATGGTGCACCATAAGAAATAAGATAACATTTATTGTTATTTATTTACTGTGGGCACAACGGCACACATCAAAAATGAAATTTGGTTGCCCGCTCTCAAGGTGAAACACATACATGACACACACCTAAACATACTATATACAACATATGTATAGACCCACATCCCTACATATACAGAACAAATAAATATTAAATACTGTCCATCCTGAATGCATAACGGAAGGAGGAAGCTTGAGAGTTCACAAGGCCCTGCTCACAGTACCTCATGTCCTTATAACTTCTGTTTAGACTACTGTAACACACTCTATATGGGGCTGCTCCTGAAGATCACTCAGAAACTTTAACTGGTGCAGAATGCGGCTGTATGGGTAGTAAATGATGCCAGATATGTAGCACACATTATACCACTTCTGCGTGAGCTGCATTGGTTGCCGGTGTTTCTGGGTTCACGTTCCAGTGATTAGCTTTAAAAGCCTGTATGGCTTGTACTAGGGTACCTGAGGTATCACCTTTTCCCAACAGTCTCTACCTATCGAACCAGGTTGAGCAGCATGCAACAGATCCTGTCAGCCACAGCTGATGGGGACTAGAAGATGGAGTTTTTCTTCAGTGGCCCCTGATCTATGGACCATCTTCCCTTCAGAGATTAAAATGGCCCCAACCCTGTTAGCCTTTCATAGGCCCTAAAATCCTGGCTATGTTCCTGAGCCTGGGGCACCAAATGTATTAAGAGCCTATAGCTAATTGGCCAAGTGTCTTGGCTGCTATATGTATTTATTTTGGATGTTTCTATTGTTTTTTTAAATGTTTTTAGTATTTTGATTGTAATATATTTTTTTGAACTGTAAGCCACCCAGAATCATTGACTGAGATGGGTAGTTAAAGAAATGGAATGAATGAATGGATGGATTTTAATTGAGAGGAGAGCAGTGGAATCAAGCATAAGAACTGTTGCTACAAATATCAATTCTGCTTCTCTAATTTCCAACACAGAATAATATTTTAGAGCAAGGCTTTTCAACCAGTGGTACGGGTATCACCTGTGGTACATTGGCACCTGGCAGGTGGTACGCGACCATCTTAGACAAGTGGTAGCGGGAGAGGGGAATGAGCTGAACCGGTGGCAGCACTGCACAAGCCTGAGCGAGAGATGGCTGGAGTTGCAGGCCTGTCAGGGCTCAGCAGAAGCGCCAGGATCAGTGCCGCTTTCCAGCTGATCGGCGCTTCTTTGGGGCTGTCAGGGCTCAGTGGAAGTGCCAGGATCAGCGCCAGGCTCCAGCTGGAGCTCGGCGCTGATCCTGGTGCTTCTGCTGAGCCCTGAAGAAGCACCAATCAGCTGGAAAGCAGCACTGATCCTGGCACTTCTACTGAGACCAGAAGAAGCACTAATCAGCTGGAATATTGCAGCATCTCCAGGGTCTTGTGATTTACATTCAGATGCTTGGCAACTGATTCATATTTATGACGGTCACAGTGTCCCAGGGTCATGTGAAGTGACCAAAACCTGCTGCAACCACCCAGCAGTCGGGGGGAACAAAAACCAAACACCCCCACCCCACCTCCGCTGCCAATCATCAACAGAAATGCTTACAACAATGGAAACCTCGGACAGGAAGAAGAATGCCGCCGGGTGGGCAGGCAGGTATCTTGCTCGGCTGTGATTTGGGGGGCACTTTTTTCAATGCCATTGTAACTTTGAACAGTCACTAAGCGAACTTTTGTAAGTCGAGGACTACCTGTACTTTATCACTTTTTTCCCTTTTTTTTTTTGGTCAAGTTTTTGACAGCTTGCTAGGCGACTAGTGGTACTCGGATGTTGCCATATTCTAAAAAAAGGTTGAAAAGCCCTGTTTTAGAGGGCTCAGAAGTCAACTTAAAATTTATGAATTTTGCATGGCATTGCAAAGAAATTTCATCTGCAGGTCTACTGATGCTTATTTGTCATTAAAGTCTGTGAAACTCACATTTATTTTGTAAGTATGTTTTGTTTTAAGCATACAGCACTCATTTGGAGAAAACTGCTATCACCAGATAAAAGTAGAAAGTTGGAATTTATTTTTGCACCCAAGTGATTTAAATTCAAATCCTACTTCAACAGCAGAATCATCAGATGATTATTGTTTGTTAACTGTCTTTTAGCCTCGGTTCCCCATCTGTAAAATGGAAATTAAAGCTTCCTATTCTGAAGACTTACCGTTTTTAAAAAACTATTTTCTTTTGCCCAATCCAAAGTCTGACGCTACTTTCTCACAATCCTTTATTTGAATTATAAACAAAATATAATTGTATTCAAATAACAGGAATTCCCCAACCAATCATATAATAATGGCCTGATATATCATGCTAAGTCAGGGAGTGGGTTCCTACAACACCTTGAGCTATCCAATTCCATTTTAGTCAGATGTGTTGTGTGAACCTGCCAATCAATCCAATCCACTTGGTTGGGATATTCTTTGGTTTATCCAGCAGTTCCTAATAGTCACTGTATTCCCCACCTTCTAACATGAGGCTGAAACAATAATATGACAAACATATGTGAACTGCAGAATTCACTGCAAGAGATTTATTTGATGAATTTGGAACTTCAAAATTCACATCAGATAAAAAAGATATAACTATGTGCATGCCTGCAGCAGAGACATCACAAAATAATAAATTCACCATCTGGGATTGGAATTCAGTTAAAAGACTTGTATAAAAATAACTTAATTATACTCTAATATCAACTATTGTTGAAGCTTGTGGACCACAATAAAGAATGAAACTACAATTGGAGTTAAAGGTATCAGTGGTTTAATGTGTTTCTTTTAGTTACTTTGCCTTAACTCAGTATTTTTACCTCATGCCTTCCAGATGTGTTGGATCTCTAATCCCAAAAATGTGATCTTAACTTTGGAATTATGGTCATTGACACAACCTCCTGGAGAGTTCCAGGTTGAGAAAAGCTGATGTATCCAAATTTGATTTTTTTTTCCTATTACTTGTTTTTATCTCCAGACTGGTAAAAGGCTTCACTTGCTGCACAGATAATGGTCGAGGTATCGTTGAACTATTCCTTCACAAAGATGAAGGGTTAGGGTTTTCAAACTGGTTTTTTTTTGGGGGGGGGCGCTAAGGGGGGTCTTTTCTTGCGTGATAGTACTGTAGCCTAAGCAGAAAGATGATGGACTGAGAAGCGATTGAAGTGAAAATAATCGAGTCTACTTTTCCTTCTTTGTTTTAAACATATTCGTATTAAACACGCCATGTTAGTCGATGAAAAAAAAATCAAGAGTTTATGCCTTTTACTAAAAAATTGTTAATCGGAAAGATAGTATTCCTGAGTGCTTCCTCTCTTTTTTCTAATTCTAGGAAAGCCTAGATTAGACCATAATAAATGCTTTACTTTTTAAAATCCCTCAACATTATTTTTCTTCCCAACCCTGAGTAAGTAAGCGTATTATTTCCTAACGCTTCGCGTCTCTGTCTAATCGACTAATAAACTAGAAGAAAGGCAGGGTACTCAGCCCTGAATTGAAACCGAGTTTCTCAGAAAGTTGGGGGGGGGGGGGAGAGAGAGAAAGGTTGCTGGAAGCTGATTGGTTACAATCAAATCGGACCTGAGTGGAACCCACAGGTAGCGGTAATAGAATGAATGCACCTGAGTGGTGTATAAATGTTCGAGCTGTTAGCAACGCTGGTTGCTGGTCGGATCTCTCTGCGTTAGGAGGATGGAAGGGAAGCGAGTGGAAGAGGTGGGGCCAAGGCCGGTGGAAAGTGCAATGACTTTGAAAGAAGATTTGCGGGTAGAATTGGGTGAGAGAGATGTCTAAGAGCTGTTGGTTTGTTTTTTTAAATGGATAAAAGGGAGACCCTCATTTGCAGTGAAACGAATGAAATATGACTTAAAGCTTAACTTCTAGAAAATAGATTTAAAATACAAGCAGGTGAGGAATTATGTTAGGAACTGGGTATGGTTTATTTGTAGATAGGTAAGGGCAATTTGGGGTGGCTTTGTAGTGAGGGAGGAACTCTGCACATGAGCAAATAATCTGAGGGACAAGTTTTATAATTAGGGGGGGGAGAGTAGGGTGAAGTTACTTTGTAAATGCTGATTCTCAACTTGCCTGTTTGTATACAGTTTTGGTCTTCCTCAACTGGATGTGCTCCTGATTTGTTTATATTCTGCACATTTAGCTTTAAACCCTGAAATTGTGCCCCTGTTATTTTAATCTTATAGCTGCAAAGACAGGATGGGGAAAGAAACGCTGGCAGCAAAGTGTTTTATGGCTGTGTTCACACAACACTCTGAAGCAGAAATTATCCAATCTCATTTTGGTG